TGTGACAAGGCGATGACCACTGTACTTGGGGGTATACATATAAGTGATGATGACAGGAAGAACAGGGCCCAAGTAATATTCTGCATTGGGGTTTGAGGTCATTAAAACTAGAACCTCTTTGGGAAATAAATTTTAGAGACTGATTAGGAGACCACTGCCTACTGATTAAGAACTGTGTCCTAGCACATGGTATAGACGATGAAACCATGGGGTTGGGGATAAAAGTAGTGCATCCATCCTCCCTTCTCCATAAGGGATATATTCCCAGACTCCCAGCAGATGCCCGAAACATCAGACGGTATGGAACCCCATATGCACTAAATACACAGCTATGATAAAATTTAATTTTATAAATTTAGGCACAGTGACAGACTAACAACAATTACTACTAATAAAATAGACCAATTATAACAGTATTCTCTAATGAAAACTATGTGAATATCGTCTCTCTCTCTCTCTTTCTTTCAAAATACCTTATTGTCTTGCACTCACCCTTCTTCTTCTGGTGATAATGTGAGATGATGAAATGCCTGCCTGATGGGATGCCGTGAGGTGAATGTTACAGGTGTTGTGACTTAGCCTAGGATTTAGATCATCTGCTTTTGGATTGTGGTTGACCCCAAGTAACTGAAACCACAAAAAGTGAAAATGTTGATAAGGGGGACTGTTCTAGAACTATCAGATTGATAGAATTTAATTTGCTGATAGGTCACAGATTTATAACTTGTTGGGATACACACACATAAACACACCACAGTGGTAATATACAAATAACATAAAATTTAACATTTTAACCATTTTTTTGTATATGATTTCGTGGCTTTAAGTACATTCACATTGTTGCCCATCTGTCACCACCACCCATCTCTAGAAAAAACTGTAGCTTCCCTACTGAAATTCTATACACATTAAATGATAGTTCCCCAGGTCTTTCTCCCCATGCTTTGGGAAACCACCATTCTACATTCTGGCTCTGCAAACTTGACCACTCTTGACCGCCAACCTCTGCGTGTCCTTAGATAAAAAGTGAGTCTCTTGTAAACAGAATATAGTTGTATCCTGGTTTGTTGTTGTTTATCCATTCTGCCAATCTATGCCTTTTAATTGAGGAGTATATTAGTCTGCTAGAGCTGCCATAACAAATTGAGTGACTTAACCAACAGAAATTTATTTCCTCAGAATTCTGGAGGCAGGAAGTTAAAAGATCAAGGTGTTGGCAGGCAGTTTCATCTGAGGGCTCTCTCCTTGACTTGTAGATGGTTGTCTTTTCCATGTGTCTTCACCTGGTCTTCCCTCTGTGTTTATCTGTGTACTAATCCTCCATTTATGAGGACATCACTCATATTGGAATAGACACACCCTAATGACTTCATTCTAAATTAATCCCCTCTTCAAAAACCCCATCACCAAATTCAGTCACATTCTGAGGAATGGGGGTTAGGGTTAGGGCTTCAACATATGAATTTTGAGGGGAAACAAAACAACCCATACATGGAGTTGATTCCATTTACATTTAAAAAATACTGATTGGAAGGCACTTATTTTTACCACATTTATTTGTTTCCTGTATGCCTTATAGCTCTTTTGTCTGTCATTTCTCCCATTACTATGTTCCTTTGTGTTTAGTTAATTTTTCTTCTGACCTATTAGGATTCCTTTCTCATTTCCTTTTGTGCATATTCTATAGATATCTTCTTTATGGTTGCCATAAAGATTACACATAAGATCCTAAAGTTACGACGATCTATCTTAAACTGATACAAACTTAACTTCAATCACATACAAAGCTGTATGCCCTCACAGTTCCCTCACCACCACTTTGTGCTACTGATGTCACAAATTATATCTTTGTGTACTGTATACTTATTAATGCATATTTATAATATTTTTATGGATTTGTCTTTTAAATCATGTAGAGGATTTTTAAAATGGAGCTGTGAATCAAAATGACAGAATAGTGGATTTTGGAAATATTTCCATATTTACCTTTATAAGAGAAATTTGTTTTTTCATATTGTTTTGAGTTATTGTCTATTGTCCTTTCATTTCTATATGAAGGACTCCCTTTAACGTTTCTTATAGGGCAGGTCTATTTGTAATGAATCCTCTTTGCTTGTTTAGTTGTGTTTTTTTTGTTTTGTTTTGTTTTGTTTTTTTGTTCTTTCTTTTTTGGTGTGCTTGTTTTCATTTGTTTTTTGGTCTGGTAGTGTCTTATTTTTTTCTTCATTATTGGAGAAAGTTTTGGTGGATATAGAATTCTCTATAAATAGCATTTTTTTTCTTTCAGCACTTAAATATTTCCCCTTACTGCCTTTGGTCCTACCAGTTTTCTGCTGAGAAACCTAACGGTTTCATTGGGGGCCTCATGGTGATGAGATGCTTTTCTCTTTCTGCTTTCAAGATTCTTTCTTTGTCTTTTCTTCTGACAGTTGGATTATGTGTCTTATTGTGAGTGGCTTTGATTTTGTCCTACTTGGAATTTGTGTATCTCTGAGGATTTGTACATTTATGTCTTTCCTCAAATTTGAGAAATGTTCAGAAATTATTCAAATTCATATTTAAGACAGTTGTTTTAAAGTCTTTGTCTAGTAAATCTGATGCATGTGTTCCTTCAGGGACTATTTCTGGCAATTAATTTTATTCCTTTGAATTGGGCAACATTTTTCAACTTTTTGAATGCCTTGTTATCTTTGTGAAAAACTGCATTGGGAAGAAACACCTACCTTTCCCAGTTTTTGCAGAATATTATGGAAGACCTTTAAAAATTAGTGATCCCCTGACCCTTAAGGTTAGCCTAGCATGAAGACTTAAAGTCTTCTCAGTCTTGCATGGGAATGTGTACCATCTAGGTCTGTGTGTGTGCTTTTCCAGCCCCCCAATCCAGATGCTTTAAAATATCTTACTTCCCCAAAAAGCCTCACTCCAGCTCCTCAGGATCTTAGCTATTCTGTTACATTCTTCTGCCGGTAATTTCTTGGCCCCAGGTGCCTGCATAGCTGCAGTCCCTGTGCACTTTCTAAATGCAGCAGGGCCACCAGTGCCTTCCATGACTTCTGACTGCCATTCCCCATATGAGTTCCAGGACAGGCAAGAAAAAAAAAATCTCTTATGCAGCCCACAGGCCAGAATATTGCAAACAAGTTTCTCTTTGCTTCTTCATCCTCAGCAAGGGAACCAGGAATGAGGCCACTGTGCCATGTCAGGGAAGCTAGGGGGTAAGGGTAAGTTAAACTCTCATGAACTCTCCTACCGTTATGAATGTGGCTTTTTCTTCACTGGACATTTACTTGGCTGCCATCAACCTCTGACTGGTCTCCAGAGTTCCTACAAAGTTATTTCATTCCATCTGTGGTTTTTATTTGGTGTTTCCATGGGGGGAATGAGGGCCTGGAGCTTTCTATTCCACCATTTACTGATGTCACTGCCCTATGTGATGGATTGTTTTTAAATGATCATGAGAAAAACAAATGTTTAGGAAAGAAACTTTTAGAGTTGAATCCATTTCTCACTCCATACTGCTAAATAATTTTTAGATGATATAAAAATCTCAATTAAAACCTGTAAGAAATATAGATGAACTAATTTGGAATGATGAAGTGCTTCCTAAGAATACACTTATTTAATATATTCTAGAAAGATTTGTAGTTAATGTGGGGTTATGTCCGTATCCAATTTCATCTTAACTTAGCAAGGCAAACTGAATCTTGGTATAATTATCATCACTCTTTCATGTATAATTTTAATAAAATGCTTAAGGATTTCAATATCTACCCATATATATATTTTTTTTCTTATGGAATCATTTACAATATATGTGGGGAAATATATATATATATCTATATATACAATAGTATTATTTATATATTATGTGTATTATAGACATAAAAATATATCTATTAACTGCATATACATATGCAGATAATAAAGTCATCTATTCAAATGGGCTTAAGCTGTAGGAAACATGAATTATCCAACAGAATGTTGAGATAGGGTAATTTCCTGAATTGGTAAATTTTCTGCCTCGACTATGACATAAAGTATCCTGATTCTTGCTATATATCTTCTATCCTATCCATACTATTGCTCCCATCCTTGGACCATAGCAAAATGGTACCAAAACTTCCACATTCCAAATCCAGACACAGTAAGTTTCAAGTAAAAAAAAAAGAGAGAGAGAGAGAGAGATGGTTTCTATTGTCTCACTGGAATATCTTCCCAGTGGCATGGCTACAGACTTCCCCTCATATCTCACTGAATGGAATTGGGTCACAAGCCCATGGTTGAGTTAATTTCTGGAATGAAAGAAGGAATTGCCTTGATTGGGTTAGACAGCTTAAATAGGGTTGGTGGGTGTTTGAGTGGCAGTTATCCTATCCAGTGAGCAAGTGAGCACTTTTTAAAATCACTGTTGTACTGTGATTGTACATTATCCCAACAGGAGGAAATGCTCTTCGTGGAACAGATTCAGGAAATAAAGCAGCATGTCTATAAAAGAACAGTACTTTTTTTTTTTTTTTAGCTCAATGATAAACATGTTCAATGTTGAAAACATAAAAGATAGTTTTATCTAAGGTGTCTTTTGTATAGGTATTAACAGATAATTTGTTTCTTCACTTCATCCATGGATAGTGGTTGAAGGCTTTCTTCTGTATAAACTTTGACATTTTCACCATTCTGCTCTTTTTTCCCATGATGCTATTAGTTGTAACCTGTCATAAAGTTGTCCATAATGAGCAAATACATTTTTTAAAACTAAATTTTGATCACTTCAATAGAAGAAGGGTTCAAACTAAAGAATGTTGGCCTCCTTTCACTGGATAAGAAGTCTTTGTTTTTCAGACATAAAGATTTATTTTAATATAGCTAAAGTGTCTTAATTCTAAGTAAATCACATTTTAAGTTATCACAATTCAAGAACCAAGACTGCCTAACATAAATTTTTCTCTGATGATTTCCCCAAGAGCTACACATAATTACAAGAATGTTTCTCTCTATTGTAGTGAGTCAAGGAGGTGTCGCATTGGTTTCTGACATGTGTCCGGATCCTGGGATTCCAGAAAATGGTAGAAGAGCAGGTTCCGACTTCAGGTAGGAGATATATGGATTATTTGAAAAGCATGTTATTTTCACACACACACACACACACACACACACACACGTATATAAAATTTCTATTTGTTATCCTTAACTATTATGTCCTTTTGAGTTAAAGATACAACTTCTCAATTATTATGAAGCTATATTATCTGTAAAACTCTAAAACATACTGTGTTGAAAACTTCCACATGCTATAGAGTGGATGCTTTTCACTATATGAATCAGTACTAAAAATTTAACCCTAAATGTATATGATCAAAATTTGTCTCCAGAAATTTTTCTTCTGTTTTTAATTAATTACCTTTCCCATATTCTAATGCAGTTTGATTGAAGTTTAAAAAATAGATGGGGCAAAAATTTACCTATAACCTCACAATTATTTCATTCAACTTTTAGAATAATGAATATAAGTGGCAGTCAATGCAATTTATTTTGGAAAAATGTTATGATTTATTTTACTAGGATTCTGAGGGGCTAGAGACTGTTTTCCCATTGTGGCAGTATTAATGTAGTGGTGTTATGAAAGTACATTATAATTATATTATCATTTATATATATATAATGATTATAATATCATGTCTTTGGATTTTTTAATTCCTTTCCATTAGTTCAAGAAACTTTTGCCAACTTACAAGGTAGATTCTCATATTGAGAGTAAGCTTCAAAATAAAGAATAAAGGGGAGTAAGGGAAATGTTTTCCTCCTTTAAAAATCTCACCATTTTTAAAAGGAAAACAATAAAGATAGGCACAGAGAGTTTTGGCTAGTAAAATGAGCTGAAACTGAAAATGTAGTTATAGGGGATCCTGGGTGGCTCAGTCGGTTAAGCGTCTGACTCATGGTCTCAGCTCAGGTCATGATCTCCAGGTCGTGAAATCAAGCCCCAAGATGGGCTCCAGGCTCAGCAAGGAGTCTGCTTGAGATTCTCCCTCCCTCTCCCTCTGCACATCTGGCTCATTCTCTCTCTCTCTCTCAAATAAATAAATAAATATTAAAAAGAGAATGTAGTTATACCACCAAAGAAGGAAGAAGGAATATTACTCAGTGCAATGTTTTTAAATTTTATGTTATGTTACTCTCCATACATTACATCATTAGTTTTTGATGTAGTGTTCCATGATTCATTGTTTGCATATAACACCCAATGCTCCAATCAGTGTGTGCCCTCTTTAATACCTATCACCAGGCTAACCCATCCTCCCACACCCCTCCCCTCTAAAACCCTCAGTTTGTTTCTCAGAGTCCATAGTCTCTCATGGTTTGTCTCCCCCTCCCGATTCCCCCCCTTCATTTTTCCCTTCCTGCTATCTTCTTTTTTTGTTTTTAACATAAAATGTATTATTTGTTTCAAAGGTACAGGTCTGTGATTCAACAGTCTTACACAATTCCCAGCGCTCACTGTAGCACATACACTCCCCAATGTCTATCACCCAGCCACCC